AGGGGGTTTTGCTCCCGTAGCCAGCGCCTTACGGACTGGCGTTTGGCTTCCGGGAAGGGATGTTTTTGTTAGCAGGGAAAATTTATGGCGAACGAAGCGAGAGATAATAATGACAGATATAAAGGCAAGTTTTTATTTACTTTCGTAGTAGGCTGGAAGCCCCTCGAGCACAGACTAAATCCCCCCCAAAAGATGTTAGTTTGGGCCAGAGGTTTAGCTCAGTAGTGCCAGCGCCTGCCTGGCAAGCACAAGGTCCCAAGTTCGATCCTGGTTCCGCAAAAAGAAACAAAAACAAAACAAAACAAGATGTTAGTTTGTCAGGCATGGTGGCGCAATCCTGTAATCCCAGTTGAGGCTGAGCCAGGAGGATCATTATGAGTTCAAGGCCAGCCTAAACTAGATAGCAAGACCCAGTCTCAAACAAGACATTAATGTTTTTGCGCCACTGCGGGACTTTCATCTTTGTTCCTCAGTTTTCTCCTCTGTAAAGTGTACCTAATCCTAATATTTCTGTCATCCCGTTGTGAAAGCCACGAGTTAAAAAGTTTGCAGAGAAAGGTATTAAAACAGCAAGCTCCTTACGGACAGGAATCATCATATTGTACCACAGCCGGCACAAGGCACTGAGCTCACAGGGGTACACATCTGAGAAATACTACATTGACTGAATGACTGCCAAAAGTGGGAGGGAAAGAAAAGTCCAATGGCTCCAGGACATCCTAAGCAAAAAACCAAGGAGTGTGTGCAGAGGTTCAAGAATCCTAGATCTAGGGCGGGGTGTGGTGGTGCATGCCTATACTCCCAGCACTCAGGAGGCTGAGGCAGGAGGATCACTGTGAGTTCCAGGCCAGCCTGGACTCCATAGTGAGTTCAAGGCCAGGCTGAACTAAAGGCCAGCGAGACCCTGTCTCAAAAAGACAAATAAATAAATAATCCTAGATCTAAGTTCTGGCTCCAACTCTTGCTTGGTTCTAGCTGGTGTCTCTTTCTCCAGAGCCCTCCTGGCTGCTAAATACTGTACAGGCGAGAAGGTCAAAAAGAGAAGGGCTGGGGATTTAGCTCAGTGGTTCCAGCACCTGCCTTGCAAGTGCAAGGTCCCGAGTTTGATCCCCAGTACCAAAAAATCAAAGGAGAGAGAGAGAGAGAGAAAAGTAATATTTATGGCACTGCCTTACGATGCAAAATTTCTTTCATCATTTTACAATGAAGGCCTGGAGTGTTGGTGCATGCCTGTAGTCCCAGCACTGGGGAGGCCTAGGCAGGAGGGTTGCCGTGAGTTCGAGGCCAGCCAAGGCAACATATTGAGGACGCAGGTCTCTCTGATTGCAAAGGCCATGCCTTCCCTGTCATGCCAGGCTCTCTTATCCTGCAGTGCAGGTGGTATAAGGACAGAGCTGTTCCTGGGGCAACACATCTGGTGCACCGCGGGTCACAGTTCCTCCTTCCCCAAGGAGATGTGATGGGAGAGCTAACAGGCCATTCCCTCATCAGAAGCCACGCTGAGGAGGGCGGCACCCCACTTTCCGTCCCCCAGCAAGACACAGCACACGGGCCTTAATTCAGGGACACTGGACCTGCGCAAGCCTTCATTCTGTCCTCTCTCCTCTCTGTGGACCAGGAGGAAGTGAGTCCTCCTTTCCTGTCTGACTCCCGTGGTGCCCCTTACAGAGTCTCCAGATAGAGCAGTCATCTTGTGTCTCATCCTGTCGATAACCCCAGTAAAAAAGGCGCCACAGCACCGGCAACCTCATCTTAGAGGAAAGCAAACACTCAGAGAAGTGTGGGGATTCTTTCAAGGCAGACAGCCAGAAAGAGCTTACCACAGGCACCAAGGTGCCCAAATCCCCTACCCTCTCCACCAGTTGCCGTGGGCGGGGCCCGGGCCTTGGATATTTGTTCGCAAATCAAGGATAAGGAGAGATCAACCTTTACATCGAAGGTTTTAAGACCTCTCTCGGCCTCGCTCGGCTGTCCCTTTGGACACTCACCCCTTCCTAGCCCCGGGCTCCTTCGAGAGCCCCAGCACAGGTTGGGGAGGGAGAGGCCACGCTGTTCGGTTCTAGGCCGCCCGGGCCCCACACTGGGGAGAAAGGAGTTAAAGCCAGGATCAATGGGGCCGGGAAGTTGCTGTGGCCCAAGCAGGAGAGGGCTTGGGGGACCCGTTGAAAGAGCGGTATGGGACAGAAGCGAGGCGGCGCCAGCCTGCCCAGCCGGCCCCTCGTTTCCGGCAGCGCCCGGCTGGCACTGGTGAACGCCCTGTCCCCACTTCCACGGCGCCAGGCCGGCGATCGGGCCCCGCCGGAGCCCCGAGGCCTCGCCCCCTCCCCGCCGGCCTGCGGTCCGCGAGCGCGCGCGCGGGCGGTGGGGCTGAGAGGGGCGGGGCCGGGCGAGGAGGGAGGGCGGCGCGAGGGAGGGGCGGTGGGAGCGGGGGGCGGGGGGATGCTGAGCCTCGGGGGCGGAGGCGGCGGCGGCGGCGAGCGGGAGGGCGGCCGGGCCTGGCGGGCGGCGGCTTCAGGCGCTCGCGGCGCTGCGCTCGGCTCCGACGGCCTCTCCGGTGCGCGGAGGGCGCGCGGCGGAGCCGGGCCGGCGGCCGGAGGAGCTATTCTTCTCCATGGTCCAGAAGAGCAGCATGTCCCGGGGCCCCTACCCACCCTCGCAGGAGATCCCCATGGAGGTCTTCGACCCCAGCCCGCAGGTGAGGCGCGGCGCGGGGTGGGGGCTGGGGTACCGCGCCCCCCGATCTCGGGATTCGCGGGGTTGCGCGCCTGGCCCGGGGCCGGCCTGCGGTGCCGCGGGGCGAGCAGGGGGTGGGCAGGCCGCCTGTCACCCGCGCCTCGCTGTCTCCCCCACGTCACGGTCCCCGCAGCGGGGCACCAGCCTGATGAGCTGAGAACGAGCATGGAGGATCTGGTAGGGGGATCCAGGCCTCGAGAAGGGGAGGCTGAGGGAAGCCACAGAGCCAGCCGAGCCAGAGGGCGACGCCGAGCGCGTTTGGGGGCGCCAGGCCCAGGTGGGTGGGTGGGTGGGGCGGGGGTGGCCCTGGATGACGACTGAGGCGCTGGTCAGAGGGCGGTGCCATCGGGCCTGGCAAGCCACAGATACTGCTCTCGCGGATGGGGAAGGGGCAGCCCTGGACCAGGCCCCCCTGCCAGGCGCCCCCACCTATCCCCGTGCTCCAGCTCCCCTTCCTCCCGACGCCCAGGTTGGCGTGCCCCTCCCTCGGCCCCGAAAACACCTCCGAAGTTTGGAAAGTTGGATGGACGCCAGCCCCCTGTCCTGGAGGGCTAGGGGCTGTTTCACCTGCGGAGGCTCTGCAGCTCCACTACTCCCTGGCCCCGTGCCCCTGGGACGCCCCCATGTAGGAGCTTTCTTGCCCGTGGTGGTTCCCTGGAGTCACCAGCCCGATTTAAGGTGGTCGTGCCAGCGGACTTCTGTGGGACTCGTCCTTCCCAAAGGTAGCATTAACTCTTGGGTGGCTGTGGCCAACCCGAAGCAACTGCGGCCGCCATGGTACTGTGGTTGATGGGTGTGTAGGGGTCAGATCAGACCTAAAAATACCCCCTTCCTCCACCCTAGGCCCCTTGGAGTCTGGGAGGCAGCTGACCGGGGCCCTCCTTTCAGCTGTCCCCTGTCCCTCCGAGCGCCACTCCCTTTGCCCAGCCTGGGGTGGGGGTGGGGAGGTGTGAGAGTGTCAGGGTCTCCGCAGAAGCCTGCTAGGTGTGCAGGGAGCCTCACAACTAGCGCGGGTGTGCCACCACTTTGGGAGGAGAGAAGCGCTGGAAAGGGTCCCCAAGTGCCTGCAGGTCCCATTATCCATCCTCCTCCTCGTACCCAGGTCCCAGGAGCAAGAGCCAACAGCCTGCTCTGGCTCACCTAGGTTCTGTGGCCAAAGAAAGTCTGGGGTGGAGGCTGGGGCCAGGCTTGGAAGGCCAAGCCCTCCATCTTCTGCCCATTCCAGCCGGGCCACGCTGGTGTGTCTGAGGGTGGGAGAGCAAAGAGGCAGCTCCCTGCCGGAGGCCTTCACCTGGGTGAACCACACTGCACCCCATCCAAGGCAGGAGCGTGGCCACTGGGCACCCAGCCTGCCCCTGGGACCTGCGGGGCTGGGTACTGGGCTCAGCTGGGTGCAGAGCCCTGGGCTCTGAGATTGCTGGAGCTGCAGCTGGTACCATGGGAGTGAGTGTAGGCATCGGGCACTTGGGAGCCAAGAGTGGGTGCCCGACCCCTCGTTGAGGGGTGTGGCCATTGTTATGGTGAGGAGGGGCCCAAGAAACCTCCCGCCTGGGTGGAGGTGGCCGTGGGGAACGCTGCCGTCTGCCCCATGGCTCCAGGCCACAGTTGGGGTTGAATGTTTACTTTCCAAACAGGTTCCCTACCCCCAGCCTCCCAGCTTTGGGTCTCTGAGAGCTCGAGCGCTCGGAGCTCTCGGAAAGGAAAGAAAGCAAGGAGTCGGGCTTGGGGAAAGCCGGGCCAGGCCTGGGCAGCCGCCCGCACTCTCAGGCCCCTCGGCTCCAGCCAGGGGCAGTGGGAGGGGCCTTCCCTGGCCGCTGTCCCCCACCCTCCCCTCCCCTCCCCTCCCCTCCCCCGGAGGCCTCTGCAGTCTGTCCAGCATCTTAATTAGCTTTGCTGCCTAATGAGCCTCCTGCTTCCCTGGGCTCCCCCTTCTCAGCCTCTGGCGTGGTTTGGGGGCTCCTGTGTGTGCCCCCCAGCTCCGGGCTGAGGTCTGGGAGACCCTCCCTCCCCGTGGCTGTACCCCACCTCTGGAGGGAGATGCAGGGCGAGGGGGCAGGGCTGTGCAGACCCAGGAATGAGGCTCCAGAGGCCCGGCTGCAGCCCTAGCCCTGGTGGGACGAGGGCTGGGAAAGGTCCTCTCTGATGCCACTCTAGTTTCTTCCTGTCGTCCCCAGGGCAAATACAGCAAGAGGAAAGGGCGGTTCAAACGCTCGGATGGGAGCACATCCTCGGATACCACATCCAATAGCTTTGTCCGCCAGGTAATGGGAGGCTGGGCCAACAGGAGGGAGGCGGCTGGTTGGTGGAGGCCAGTGTTGGTGAGCTGGCCAGCTTTCTCCAAGCACCCTTCCCCGTGTCATTTGTCACCTGCCTGGAACCACCCCAACACCATGACAGCCCGAGACCTCTCTGGGATGTGCTGTCAGCTGCACCTACTGCCTCAGCCCCCGCCCCCGCCAGCCAGCCTCTCCTCCCACACCAGCCCCTGCCGCCTGCCGCCTGCCTGCGTCATCTCATTCAGGGACAGCCTGGCCTGCCTCCTCCTGGCTTGCTTTGGGCTGTCACCCACTCCCCCTGCCGGCTGTCTGCTTCCATGTCCTCCCCCGGAAACTGTGACGGGCTGGGGTGGAGGCAGGTGCTAAGAAATGAGAAGCTGGGACATTTGGGTCCCCGGAGTCCTGGCCAGGCTTGGTTAGGGACACATGCTCCTCACTTCCAAATGCGACTGTGTCATGTGCAGAGAAAAGGTGGGATTGGGGGGCAGGGAGTGTTGTGTTTTAAAGGGGACCTGAGCCCAGCACCCCTGAGTTAGGGAGATACCAGAGCATAGCTTTCTGGGGCTCCTGTGCTCGGCCCCACCAGCCCCGAAACTGCTGCTCTCCTGTATCTTCTAACTCAACCTGGGCCATCTTAGGTTCAGGGAGAGTCAGTGAGGGATACATGCGGTTACCATGGCTACAGAGCTTCTCAATAAAGCCTGGTAACCAAAAAAGGCGAGAGGGGCTTGGGATCAGACAAGGAAAGAAGTGAGTGACAGAGGAAAGAGTCAAGGCACAGGAGGACAGAGGACAGTAGAAAGGGGTAGCCCCTTGGGGCCAGGAGAGAAGGCAGTGCCAGGTCCATCCCCACTCATTGGAACAAGGCCCTTCTCTCTGGGTTTTCTGTCTCTGCACTTGGCATCTGTGGGCCCAGGCCTGGCTTGGACGATCCAGGAAGAGAGGCCTCCATCCAGCATCTCCTAAGGACACAGACTGGAAGTCCCTCCTCCCTCACTCCCTCATCCCTCCTGTTGCAGACCTGGGCCAGGACCAGGGCTTAGAAGAAGGAGGCTATGCCTTCTCTCCCCTCTGGGCAGAATCTTCCCTTCTGGGCCTTGGATCCTTTAGTATTTGCCAAGCCAGGGCGTCAGACCCCAGCCTCCGATTTGTCTTCCTTTTGGCTCCCAGTTCTGCCCCACAGTGGGTGGCAGGCATGGGGGGGGCCGCCCTTGCCACATCTCTGAGCTAAATATACCCTAGCAGTTTGCACATGTAGCAACTCTGCTTGTAACCTGAGCCCCCCAGGGAACGGGCAGTTTGGGCCACCCCCTAGGCCAGCAGGCCCAGGCACCGAGGGCTCCGGGATGGAGGTGCCCAGTCGGACCCTCGTGGTGGTGAGCTGGGGACGGGGCAAGGCAGGGGTGGAGAAAACAGCTTCTCAGAAAACTTGGTGGGGAAACTTCATGCCAGCCTGTCCCCTGGCTTCCTCCTTGTTTCCGGTCCCCCGCCGTTGCTGCAGTGTGTGTGTGCATGTGTGTGTATGTGTGTCAGTGGGTGTTGGGGCCCATGAGCCCCCCTCTGCCCCATGGTCTGTCTCTAGCCTGTCTGGATGTCTGTCGCCCTGACTGAGTGCTTCTGGCGGGAAGGGGACAGTGGAGGCTGGGCTGCTTTCCCTCTTTGCCATGTGCATCTTTCCCAGCTTCTGTGGGGGACCCCCGGCCCCACCCAACCCTTTCCCTGCCACGCTCACATCTTCACAGTTGGGCTGGGAAGGGGCTGGGCACTGCACCGGCGCACAACCAGAGGACGCTAGAAGAGGTTGGACTTTATCATCTCTCTTTCCTGGGTCCCCTCTCTACCAACCTGTGGACATTCCCAGCCAGGTGACCTTCTCGTGCCTTGAAGAAAGGTCCTCCGCATCTCTGATGTCCTGCTGCTCCCCCACAATCCCCTGACCCATGCCACTACCTCGGAAGTCACACACAAACGCACACCTCCTGTCCTCTGCACTCTTGGGCCTCTCACCCTCAGGGATTCAGGCAGCAGGATGCAGAGCCTCCTTGACACAGGCGTTGACGACCTGGCTCCACATGTCTCCCATGTGTTGCATACATACATGTGGATCCTAAGGGAACCCTTTGTGCCCAGGATGGTCGAGGTGGTCAAGCCAGCTTCTGAGCAGCCTTACACAGTGCCTGGAGGGCCAGGTGTTGGGACAAGGCCTTGGTGTCTTGCTACTGACTTTTCTCCCACCCTTGCTCCCCGGGACTCTTGGTTCTCTTTGTGTCTAATCCCAGCCCCAGGGTTGGCTCTGAAGCGGTGGCCTGATGCTGGTGGTACCAGCCAGAGGAGTGGGGAAGTAGGGGTCTTCTCTCCCACCCTCTGGCTCCGTCCCAGCGGGGAGTCAGGCCTTGACCATGGCTTCGGTCCCTGGAGGGCTCTTCTCCACGACACTGGGGGCAGGGCAGGGCAGGAGGAGCAGGGTACGATAAGGCCCCTGGCACTCCTCCCCTGTGCTGTGCCCTATCAGGTTCCCACCCCTCCTGGGGCTGAGCAGCTGTTCCTGGACCTGCCTTAACCCCCGCTTTGCTGCTGTCACCCATCTGAGGGTCACTGTCCTCCCGTGGGCATGCAGACCTCAGTCCCCAGACCCTTCCTCCCCACGGCACCTCCTTCTAGGCCTTGTGGCCTGGAGCTGGGCTGGCTGGGATGTGCGGGTTGTATGGCACCCAGGAGCAGAGGGTAGGGACCTTGGGGCTGAGCTGGTGCTGTCTGCTTTCAGGGCTCGGCAGAGTCCTATACCAGCCGCCCTTCAGACTCTGACGTGTCTCTGGAAGAAGACCGAGAAGCCTTAAGGAAGGAGGCAGAGCGCCAGGCGTTGGCCCAGCTCGAGAAAGCCAAGGTAGGAAGGCGGGGGCAGCTGGCCAGGGCAGCGGCAGGTCTCTCTGTCCAGCCACTCCCACCACCTGTGTCCTGCACCTGGAAATCGTGGGCTGGGAAACCTGCCTCACCATCCACACATATGTGTCCAGGAGCCCAAAAATGCCGACACGGCCACTTCAGCCTGGAACCAGGCTCCTGACTCTCAGTGGCTGTATGAGGTTAAAAAAGTCACCTCCCTTCTCATAACTCTGATGAACCCCATTCATTAAAAGGAAGATAGCTTTTTTGGCCATGTTTCCATGCCACCAGAATGGGACACATGTATGTGCTTGCTGGTTCTCTCGGGAGCCCACGAGGGGTGAAAAGAAAGGCCAAGGCCAGGTTGTCATTGGCCATCGGCACCATCTGCTTTCTGACTGTAGTGTTGAAGTATGGGCTCACTGACAAATTTGAAATTGTTGATGGTTACAGAGCCGGAAATTGCTGGGAACCCTACAGGTGTGTTCTACAAGTGTGGAATGGCCAGATTTGATGTGCAGATGGCTGGTCTTGGTGGTGTATGCCTGTAGTCCCAGCTAATTGGGAGGCTGGGGGAGGAGGTTCATTTGAGGCCAGGAATTTGAGGTCAGCCTGAGCAACATAGTGAGACCCTGTCTCCATAACAAAATCAAATAAAAGAAACATGAAGCTGGGCGTGGTGGGGCATGCCTGTAATCTCAGCACTTGCAAGTCCGAGGCCAGCCTGGGCAATTTAGCAAGATCCTGTCTCAAAAAGAGCTGGAGTGCTCCCTGGCTTCAATACCCAGCCCTCAAGGTAAAATAAATAAATAAAAATAAACTTAAAAAGTACAATAAGATGGCAAACGTGAGAGTCCTTACCTTCACCGGCTTTTTGTGCTAAGCAAATGAGCCAACACTCGGGAAGCCTGTGATGTCACGCCTGGCACGGGAAAGAGTAGCGGCTGCCTTTGTTGGATTGTCCCTACTTTGCGTCATCTGGGCGCTTCTGCCACCAGTACTCGTGATTCCCCAGTGCCCTCCTCCACCTCGACTGTGCTTTTTTACCGTAGACGTTAAGGTACAGAAAGCCACACCAGCCACTTGGTGTGCATTTGAAAGAACAATTTACAAACCAGACAGCAGCGGGTTAACCTGCTGGCCCCTGTTGTTGCCCTCCATATGCCTCCCCCAGACCAAGCCAGTGGCATTTGCAGTTCGGACAAATGTGGGCTACAACCCGTCTCCCGGGGACGAGGTGCCTGTGCAGGGCGTGGCCATCACCTTCGAGCCCAAGGACTTCCTGCACATCAAGGAGGTGGGGAGCTTGGCACCCGGGGGCCGGGAGGGTGCAGGAGGGGTGGTGGTGGGTGAATGAGGGGTCCCCCGGCTGTCCTGAGGATTAGGCGTGACCGGAGCCTTGGGCAACATGTAGGCGTCCACATTCGCATGCGGCCTGGCCCTGGCCGGTGGCAGGCTGCCGAGGATGCCTGTCCTTCCTCTCTCAGCACGCCCCGCTCCACTGTCCCCTGCAGAAATACAATAACGACTGGTGGATCGGGCGGCTGGTGAAGGAGGGCTGTGAGGTGGGCTTCATTCCCAGCCCCGTCAAGCTGGACAGCCTGCGGCTGCTGCAGGAACAGAAGCTTCGCCAGAACCGCCTCAGCTCCAGGTGCCTGGATCCCGGGCTCTGAGGGCACAGAGCTCCCCATGGCATCCCATGGGGGTGCAGGCGCTGGAGAACCCCTGAAGGCACAGCTGGTGGGAGGACAAGATGCCCCAAGCCCGCAGTGCCCACCTGCCCTCACTGGCTCCCTTGCCTCCTGCCCACACAGCAAATCAGGTGACAACTCCAGTTCCAGCCTGGGAGACGCGGTGACCCGCCGCCCCACCCCCCCCGCCAGTGGTAAGAGCTGCTGCCAGCCTCGGGGGCGGGGTGGGGGTGGCTCGGGGGGGGGGTGCCCCACTACCTGACCCGTCTCCTGCAGTAGGAGGCACCCGAGTTCTGAGCCCCCCAACACACGCAGTGGTGAAGGCTAGGACCCCCTATGCTGGGCCTGTCGTGTCTCCCCTGTCCCTCTCTCCGGTAGCTCCATCTCTGCCTGCCCCACACCTGCCCCTTCATTGCTCCAGCCCTGTTCCATTCACCTCTTCTTTCTCTCTCCCCCGCCCCCACCCTGTGTTCTGTTCTGTGTCTCCGTCCATCTCATCCCTCCTGTCCTCCTCCCGTCCTTGCTGTGGTCCAGGTAATGAGGTGACTAACTTAGCCTTTGAGCTAGACCCCCTAGAGTTAGAGGAGGACGAGGTGGAGCTGGGGGGGCAGGACGGCTCCGCCAAGACTAGCGTTAGCAGTGTCACCACCCCGCCGCCCCACGGCAAGCGCATCCCCTTCTTTAAGAAGGTAATTTTTGTGGGCTCCTGAAAGAGGGGGTCAGGGCATAGCTGTGGTGGGGCTTGGGGGCTGGAGCGGGTCCCCATGAGGTCCCAGGCTCTCCTACCAGCCGAGGGCGGGAGAGGACGGGTGCTTCCTGCCCTGGGAAGGGTCCCCACCCCATGATGCAGGTCATGGCAAGGCGGCCTGACCTTTGCCCTCACTCCCAGTGGGATGGCAGGTGCCAGTGTGTGCCCGCCTCTGGCTGTGAAGAGGGCAGGAAGGGCGTCTCTCCCCGCCCTATGACTCCACGGGTGGGCACCTGGGTGGCCTCGAGCCAGGCAGTCAAGGGAGCCTTAAGAGTGGACAGGTTGATGCGAGCCAGGCAGGAGGTGGCACCAAAGGATCGAGCTCTTTTCCAAGAGCAGGGGTGGGGGTGGGGCTCTTGCCAAGTGCCCCTGACTGCCACCAGCCCTGCACCCATCCCTGACCCGGGGCCACCACTGGCTGCCCTTGGCACGGGGTCCCGTCCCCCTCTGCTGTGTCTGTCACTAACACGCATGCCCTGTTATCTCTCTCGTCTGCCTGCTCCCTCCCTCTTGGCCTGGCTCCTTCTGTGCCTCTGCCCTGCCCGGGTACCCTCCCCTCTCCTCCCCTCCCCTCTCCTGGCAATCTTGGGACCCAGCCAAACAGAAGCAGAAGTCGGTGAGTGTCACAGCTTTCTGTGTCCTCTCCCCGCCCTGGGATGAGCTGGGGGCCTTCTAACACCCGTTCCCACCTCTCCTGGCCGCCCCTCCCCACCTCTCCTCATCCCTGGGACCAGGGGGCGGAAGGCTGCACGGGGAGGCTGGGGAGGGGCTGATGCCGTCTCCACTCTGGGGTCTCCCCTCCCTGCTTCCCCCAGACAGATCATGTGCCCCCCTATGACGTGGTGCCTTCCATGAGGCCCATCATCCTCGTGGGACCATCGCTCAAGGGCTATGAGGTAGGACCCCCAAGGGGAGTGGACTGCAGGGGCCCAGACTGCAGAGAATATAGAAAGATGAGGGTGCAGAGGGGTCCTTAGAGGGCCACAGGCCTTCAGGGAAACCCCCAGAGGGGAGCGACCTATGGGCCCCCATTCAGAAGGGCCCAGGCCCCCAGAGAAGCCCCTGAAGAGCCCTCTAGAAGCCCCACCTAGGAGGCCTGGGAATCAAGACTGCCTTGGAGACCCCAGACCTGGAGGGACCTCCCTGTGCCCGGGGCCCCTTGGCCTGGGGATTGAAAAGGAAAGTGTCCGCAAGGGTCAGAGGCCAGCAGCCCAGCAAGGAGGTGGCTGAAGGGCCCGCTGTGCCCCGCCCCCAACCCCACCCCAGGTCACCGACATGATGCAGAAAGCGCTGTTCGACTTCCTGAAGCATCGGTTCGATGGCAGGTAGGACCTAGGCTGCAGCTCTGCCTTGGGCGGGGTGGGTGCCTCAAAGGACAGTCGGGGCTCTTCCCAGGGCCCCTGAGCGCTCCCTTGTGGTCCCCAGGATCTCCATCACCCGGGTGACAGCCGACATCTCCCTGGCCAAGCGTTCTGTCCTCAACAACCCCAGCAAGCACGTCATCATCGAGCGCTCCAACACACGCTCCAGCCTGGGTGAGCTGGCGCCCAGGGGTGGGCGGTGGGGGCGCCCCCTGTGCCTGCTGCCTCATCCTCCCCTCCCCATGGCTCCCCTGCCCCAGCCGAGGTGCAGAGTGAGATCGAGCGGATCTTCGAGCTGGCCCGGACCCTGCAGCTGGTTGCCCTGGACGCAGACACCATAAACCACCCGGCCCAGCTCTTCAAGACCTCACTGGCGCCCATCACTGTTTACATCAAGATCACCTCCCCCAAGGTGGGCGCAGGGCCCGGCCCAGCCGGCAGCGTGGTGTGGAGGAGCGCACTGAGGCTGGGCTGCCACAGTTTGCCCTGCTGCTCACTAACTGGGTGACTTCATGTCCCCGAGCCTCAGCTTCCTTCTCTGAAGAGCTGTATCACATGGTCATTGTGAATGTGAAGACGCAACCTGATAGGAAGGCATCAGGCTTAGGGAAGGGTCTGCTGCCATCGGCCTCGTGGTGTAGTAGCTATTGTTGTTATTATTATTTGGGTGTTTTGTTTTTTTTTTGAGACAGAGTTTTGCTGTGTAGCCCAGGCTGGCCCCAAACTTGAGGTGATCCTCCTGCCTCAGCCTCCTGAGTGCTAGAATCACAGAGATCGCCACTGTACCCAGCTAAGAATTCTGTGCTTTTTGTTCCAGTGTCACCCAGCTCCTTGGCAGTTGGGAGGTCTTTTATGATATCAGCCCTCATTTTGCTATGTTGTTCTTGTTTGGACTTTGTTTTGGGGGTTATTTATTCATTGGTATGGGAATTGAACCCAGGTCCTTATGCATGCTAGACAACAGCTCCAACACTCAGGTATATCCCCAGTCCTTTAAAAACTAGTTTTGGTTTGGGGGCCAGGCTTGTAGCTCAGTGGCGTTGCACCTGTCTGGCAAGCGCAAGGTCCTGACTTTGATCCCTGGTACGAGGGGGAAAAAAATTCAGTTTTGAGTCAGGGTATTCTAAGTTGCCCAGGCTGACCTTGAACTTGTGATCCCCCTGCCTCAGCCTCCTGAGTACCCGGGGCTACAGGTCTGTGCCACTGCACCCCGCCTCATTGGCGCCTTGCTAGAGGGGATGTGGGGAAGGCTGATTTTCATTTTTGTCACACTGGAGCCCCCTCAACTCTCCCTTCTGGGTGTTGGTGGGCACTTGGGAAACGGGGAGAAGTGTTTAGGAGAAGGTTTTGAAGTAAGAAGATGGCCTAGGGTTCAAACTCTTCCCCTGTTTGGCTTACGTATTTATGTAATGTTGTCTATGGTTTGTTGTTGCTATTGATTTTAGGATTGGGGAATTATTTAGTGTCTGACCCTCAATTTATTCACTTATAGAATAGGGGTGTAATTCCCCCTGGTGTTATTATTGTTTTTATTATTTTTGGTGCTGACGATAAAACCCAGGGCCTTGTGCATATTAAGCATGTGCTCTACCACTAAGCTACACTCTCAGTCTTTTTTTGTTTGTTTTTTTGTTTTTGTTTTTGGTACTGGGATGGAACTCAGGACCTTGCGCTTGTGAGGCAGGCGCTGGAACTGCTGAGCTAAATCCCCGGCCCTGTTTGTTTGTTTTTTGAGACAGGGTCTCACTATGTAGTTCAGGCTGGCCTTGAACTCCCTATGTAGCCCAGGCTGGCTTCAAACTCTTGGTGATCCTCCTGCCTCAGCCTCCAGAGTGCTGGGCTCACGGGCCTGTGCCACCACGCCCAGCTTTCTTATATCCTTTTTGAGAGGGTGGAGGGAATGACGTGGAGCACCAGGATCCTGTCTGACTCAGGAGGCCGGCCGGCAGAGGTAGCTGTTACCATCCCCTGGTAGCATGCTGAGAGCTGAGCACCCAGGACAGTTCCTTAACCTCTGGGAGTCCTCCCTCTCTGATGAGATAAAAGGGCTGGTGAGGTTGAAGTACTCAGAGGTGGGGAGGTTGAAAGGATCAAAGGAGATAATGGACACAGAAACACTTCCTCACCTAGAAAGTAACAAACACTTTCCCCACTGAGGTTAAGGGCCAGGACTCTGGAGCCAGACGGCCTGGGCTTCCTGTCCAGTGCTGTCATTTAACAGCACTGTGTTCCTGCAGCAAGTCAAATGCCAAGTGTCTCTGCGGCCTAGTTTCTTCATCTGCAACAGAGACGTGCCCAAATGACTACTGTGACTATCAAATAAACAAATCAATCACACAGAATGCCTGCTACCCACCAAGCACTGTATCTGTTCTATTTTTTAAAAATCCAAATTGTGGTGGGCCGGGGATTTAGCTCAGTGGTTTCGCTGCCTGCTGTGCAAGCACAAGGACTAGAGTTTGATCCCCAGTACCAAAAAAAAAAATTGAAACACAAAATCCAAATTGCTTCCTTAGCGTGTGCAAGGTCTTAGGTTCCATCCAAAGTACACACACACACACACACACACATACACACATACAAAATGCAATTCATATTCACCTTTCACTATTGTCCCAGTAATGCCTCTTCTGAGCCAGGTATGATGATGCACACCCATGACCCCAGCCACTCAGGAGGCTGAGGCAGGAGTATCACAATTTCAGTCCAGCCTGGGCAACTTAGCAGTCTCAAATAAAATACAAAAAAAGGGGCTGGGGATGTATCTCAGCATTCCTTTGGTTAAATCCCCAGTCCAAAAAAAGAAAAGGAAAAGGAAAAGAAAAGTAAACAAAGACACTATGATATTTTCCCTAATTCAGGAATCAGCCCAGGGGCTCAGTTTTCTTTCATATGGAACAGTTCTTCATCTGGATTTTCATGACAGTGATATTTTAGAAGAGTACAGATCAAATTTTATTTGTTCTTTTTTTTTTTCTATCGGGTATTGAACTCGGGTCCTTGGGCTTGCACAGCAGGCGGCAAAACCACTGAACTAAATGCCTGGCCCTATTTGTTCATCTTGGAGACAAGGTCTCGCTGTGTAGTTCAGGCACAGGCAGGATCTTCCTGCCCCAGCCTCCTGAGTGCTAAGATTACAGGCATGCAGTCCCCATGACCGCCTTGAGCAGCTATTGTAGACTGTTCCTCTGGCTTTGTCTGATGTTTCCTTATGACTAGATTTAGGTTTTGGATTTTATTATCATGAGTATTATTATGGGGATGGCAGTAATAATAGTTATCTAGTAGGGTGTTGGTCGCAGAACATCCAGGTGAGGTGGGACACACCTGTAGTCCCAGCAGTTTGGATGCTGAGGCAGGAGGATTGCTGCAGCCCAGCACCTGTTTGGGGCCAGCATGGGCAACATAGAGAGATCTCAGCTCCTTCCCCCCCAAAGCCCAGAAGAGCTCTGATACCTAGCAGGAGTCCATCAAGGGGCGCTGTGGTTGTTAGCCTGAGTTCGGGAGTGGGGTGAGCCTGGAGAATGAGCCCGAACCTACCTGCCTGCCCGGGTGCACTGCCTGGGTGCCCTAGCGCCTCCTCTCCCCACACCAGGTCCTTCAGAGGCTCATCAAATCCCGAGGGAAATCTCAGTCCAAACACCTCAACGTCCAAATAGCAGCCTCGGAGAAGCTGGCCCAGTGTCCCCCCGTGAGTGCCAAACCCCGGGGTTCGATGGGAGGAGGGCATCTGGGGTCTCCTGGCTTCCTCTGGTCAGAGCGGGCGACACGAATCTGGGCCAGGTCTGACGCAGAGATTGGGCTTTGGGGAAAGAGGGCTGGGCAGGCAGAGTGGGCTAGGTGGGGAGCCAAGCCCCGCGCTCTGCCTGGGTTGCCTTATGTCTCGCAGGGAGGTGGGCTGAGTTGGACTCCCCGACCCCTTCCACTGCTGCCCATTGGCAGCTCTTGAGCGACCTCCTTCCCTTCCTCCACATCCAGAGGGCTCTTTATAACCTTGTCCTTCAACCCCTTGGCCCCACCCACGGCACCAGGCCACACCCTCAACCGTTGGCCACGCCCCCGTCGCTCATCCCGCCACGCCCCTAAACCCCCCTCCACAGGAAATGTTTGACATCATCCTGGACGAGAACCAATTGGAGGACGCCTGCGAGCACCTAGCCGAGTACTTGGAAGCCTACTGGAAGGCCACGCACCCGCCCAGCAGCACGCCGCCCAATCCGCTGCTGAACCGCACCATGGCTACCGCAGCCCTGGCTGCCAGCCCCGCCCCCGTCTCCAACCTCCAGGTACAGGTGCTCACCTCTCTCAGGAGGAACCTCAGCTTCTGGGGCGGGCTGGAGACCTCGCAGCGGGGCGGCGCGGTGCCCCAGCAGCAGGAGCACGCCATGTAGCGGTGTCCGGCTGTGTTCCCTTCGCCCTGGAGTGCAGGAACGTGGGGAAGGGAGGGAAGAGCTTTATTTTGTAAAAAACGTGGTGAGCGGCAGCTTCCGGTGTCTGTGGTTTTTGCTGGGACTGGGACTGGCTGGTGCTGCCTCCCTGGGCCTGGGGCTGTAGCACTCCTCTTGGCCGGGAGGCCTGACCAGTGCCCTCATAAGACCAGAGACTGCGAGGAGAATAAAACATGAGACAACTCTTCCACTGGACTCCACAGATCAGGGGCACTCAGACTCGGGAACGAGACAGCGGGGACACCTGATTCAGAGGCTGCCCCTCCCCTGCTTGTGTCCCCAGGAGGGGCCTGGACTGGGAGGGACCCAGTGTGGAGCATCCATGAGTCTGCTGGCCTTCCTCCCTTCCTCCAGTCACACAGTCCAAGAAAGGCCCTGTTGGGGGCGCCTCCTCTGGCCTCTCCCCCTTTCCAGGGAAACCACGGCCCTTCCCTGTGACCACACCACTGAGTCTACGGTTAGGTCTGCAGATCCCCATCAAGGCATTGAGGGCTGCTGCTTTTAACCTTTGTTCTCAGCAACATTTGTTCAGTGAATCTTCAGCTAAGGCACCCCTGCTCTTCCTGGAGGAAGCTGGGGCCCAGCCTCAGGGACCCTGGGAGCACTTCTGTGCCCTCCCGCCTCGCCCCAGATGTCCATGAAACAGTTTGCAAACGGCTGCTGTAGTGGCATCCCCGACACTACAACCGAGAAAGCAGGCCAGTGTGCTCAGCCACACAGCTTGAGGCAGCAGAGGCAAGACTAGGACAGGGGCCACTCTGCACGTCACCCAGCATCCCCTGTGGTGGCAGGCCCATTGGCAGTAGGTCGCCTTCACATGGCATTGGTGATGAGGACACCGGCCCACCCCCTGTGGCTTCTGGGGGGCACAGGAGGAACCCCATCCCTTGCATGGTTCGGAAAAAGAGCAGCTGCAGTGGGCTTCTGTGTGCCCGCGGGCGCAGTGTGGCTGGTGTGGCCGAAGCAGCTGGGGCTGGGGGATTTGAGCTGCCATCCCTAATGTACTTGGAAACCTGGAGGCCTTGACTAACCCAGTCAGCCATTAACAAGTAGCGGTACTAATGAGCTGTTAATGATGACTGACCCCAAGGCAGCGTCAATAACACGCATTGAGGATGTGGTGACTAATCGTTTAGGGCTCCCTGCTGTGGTTACGGTGAGGGCTCAGGCGTCAGTGGACTCCCAGCCCCAACAGAAGAGCAGATGCCCTTGAGGCCGGGCCTCTGGCTGAGCTCTGGAACCCCCAGTGCCAGTCCTGGGTGCCCATCCTCCTCCTGCTGGATGGATGGATGGATGACTAAGGGTCGCAGTGCAGTCACTAACCTGCCTTGCTTTGTTGTGTTTTTCTCACCCCTGCCTCCTCTGCATGGCGTCTGCCGTCCGTCCGTCCGTCCGTCTGCTAACCAGGGACCCTACCTTGCTTCCGGGGACCAGCCGCTGGAGCGGGCCACCGGGGAACACGCCAGCGTGCGCGAGTACCCAGGGGAACCCGGCCAGCCTCCGGGCCGCCACGCCCCAAGCAGGGCGGGCACCGCGCGGGCGCTGTCCCGCCAAGACACCTTTGATGCCGAGACCCCCGGTAGCCGAAACTCGGCCTACACCGAGCCGGGAGACTCGTGCGTGGACATGGAGACGGACCCCTCCGAGGGCCCGGGGCCCGGGGACCCCGCGGGGGGCGGCACCCCGCCGGTGCACCAGGGCTCCTGGGAGGAGGAGGAAGAGGAGGAGGAGGACTACCGGGAGGACCTACCGGACAACCGGGGCCGGGCCCGGAGCAAGGCCCGCTACTGCGCCGAGGGCGGGGGCCCGGGCCTGGGGCGCAATAAGAACGAGCTGGAGGGCTGGGGCCGGGGCGTCTACATCCGCTGAGGGGGGCGCGCGGGAGGGGGGGCGCGCGGGAGGGGGGGCGGGGCTCACACCTGGCGGCTTCGCCTCCGGGGCCGCTTTCGCCCCCTTTCAGATGCCTTTGCTCGGTGTTGGGGATTTCTGGGGTACCCGCCGGCTCCCGGGCGCCCTTTAAGCCCCAGCTGTGGGGTTTCCTTACCTGCTGAGGACGGATGGGGATACCCTCCTTTGCGAAGTGTCTCCTTTTCCCTGTCCTCCAGAGAAAAGGTGCACTTCTCACTTCCTTCTGGGGCTGTAGGTGAGGGTCCCAAACGGGGCGACCCTGCTCCCCCTGCCCGGGATCAGACCGGACGCCTTTCCTGGAGGGGGGGGTACAGAATCTTCCCCAGACCCCAGCCCCAGCCCGCCCCCTTCTTGGCTCATTGTCAGGTGCGGTGCGTGAAAGCCACAGCTCGGAAAGCTTGGGGAGGGGTCTGGGGTCGACCGGGACAGATGCAGCTGCAGCCTGTGCGCCCGAAAGTGCTGCTCCCCACCCCCTTCACGTCTCAGCCTCTCCCACCCACGAATGAGCTTTGCCCGCAACCTCCCTCCCGCCTGCTGCCATCCGCCCAGGGGCCCCTCTGCATCCGAGCCCCCCATCTCCGTGCCCCCGGGTGTGGAGACCTCATTCTAAACCAAAAAATGGCTCCTTCACCTTCACAGCCCGAGGCCCCAGGGGTTGCTTGGTGTCCAAGAGGTGACCCCACCCAGGGGTTGTCTGGGGCCCTCGGATCTCCCTGGGGAGCTTGGCTGCTGCTGCTGCTTCTCTGTATTCGCCTCTTGTACTCCCTCCCTTTCCCGTGCCCACTTTCTCCAGGAAAGGCCTCGGTGCCCCCCCCCATCTTTGGCCTCAGTGTCCCCAGAGCCCAGCAGCCCTGCCCCTGCCCAGCACCCCAGCTGGGCCAGAGAGAGCCGATTGTGCCAACGAGGACTGGGCCCCCCCCCCCCCGGCTGCCCAGCTCAGGGATGGGCCCCTCACGCCTGTCTCCCACCTCCTGTGCCATGTTACTCCACCTCCTCGGGGCAGGGTGCAGCTTCCATTTCCACTGCCCAGGCCCCGCCCAGCCCCATCTGGTGTCCGTGCCCTCTCTGTCTGTCTCCGTTTGTACTCCTCCACCAGAAGTATTTTGCCACATATAAAACCGCCGTCCTGTCCTTCGCGGCCACCTCACAAGCTCTCGTCTTTGTTCCTGACCCATGGTTGTCAGCCCAGCAGCCTCTGCCCAGGGAGGTGGGCAGGAAAAGGCTGTGCCGGCTGCTGACTCAGACACAGTGCCCAGAGTGCCACCTGCTGACGCTGGTGCACCAGCCCACGCCTTCCCAGGCTCCCACAGGCAGAGCTGAGGGCTGGGTGCCCCCCAAGCTCACCAGCCTGAGGTCTCCAGAGTGCATGCTCAGGTTTCTGCTCTTCTGGCCTCACCAACCCTGCGCTGCCCGGCTTTGGAACCAGCAGAGGTGGGGGCAGGGCAGAGAAAATCAGGGGCCCCTCCCGTCCCAGCCTGAGAGATGTGAGGAGAAATCGCACAGTCGCCATCGCCACCTGGCAGGATTTGGACCCTGGGCCAGTGCCATGGAGCACTTGCAAGCTTCCTTGGTCACCGATTCTAGTTTCTCAGGGACTCAAGTGTCCGGGTCCTCTGCCTGAGTGCTCCCACAGGGAGGGAAGGAAGGAACCTCAGAACCTGCAGATGAGTTGTTGGATCAAAGGTAAGGGAATAGCTTGGCTAGGCGTGGTCATGCATGCATGAGGCTGAGGCAGGAGGATCATCATGCTACCTAGTGAGTGCAAGGCAAGCCTCAACCACATAGGAAGACCCTGTCTCAGAAAACAACAATAAAACACAGAAGGAAGAGGAGCTGGGCATGCCTGGATGAAACAGCTGCCTGGAGCTCCCTTGGGGAGCTGATGACAAAGTTGACAGTTGACGAGAGCCCCCTCTGCCTCCCACCACCTCTCCATGGAATCCATCATCACCCCCGCCAGTTTTATTCACTGAGGGGACATTTCTTGGGACCCCCTGTGTGCCAGGCACAAATCGGAGCTGCAGCCACAGAGAATTTCAGCCTGACCCACTGAGCTCTGGAGTGGGGAAAGCTGGGTGCTGTGGGAAGCCAGAGGGGTCACTTCCTGGTCCCAGGGAGGTCCCTGGAGGAGGCAAGTCTTGGGGGGTTTGGCAGGAGCAGGTCACATGGACCTGAGTCATGTTCAGGACTTTGGGTTTTGTCCTGATGCCCATGTACAGAAATTGAGAAGTAGCCAGGTAAAGTGGCAGCATATCTGTATTTCCAGCACTTGGAAGGCTGAGGCAGGAGAATCCCAAGTTTGAGGCCAGTCTGAGCTACATAGTGAGTTCAAAGCCAGCCTGAAATACGCATCATGACCCTGTCTCAAAAAAAAAAAAAAAAAAAAAAAAGCCCCACGCATGGTGTGGAGCTCTGCAGTGGCATTTCAAATCAAGAGCGGGAATTATTTTATTAGCTGTGATTTATAGATAAATCTCAGAGAGGTTGAACTCCTAGTCTACAGTCACACACTCATGGAGCAAAGGGCTTGAACTTGTATCTGGATTTCAGGGTCCGTGGTGCTTGTGCCTCCAAGGACAGAACTCGGTCCTCTGCCCTGGCCCCTTTGGTGTGGGTGGGGATCAGGGAGGAGGAAGCAGGTGTCTGAGCTACTTCTGTCTCCTCCCGTACAGCTACATTTGCCTGGGACCTGCAGGCAGGCGAGGGCATTTCTGGCTGGGCAGACCCTGGAGATGGGAGAGAGTTTTGTTTCTTGGTAACCACAAGTCCACAGCCAACTGGGTTGCTCAGTCAGCAAGCTGGAGGCTGCCAGCCCCCAGGATTTCTACAGCCGGCCCCCCCTACCTGGTCCCCTCCCTTTGCCAACCTCCCAACAGCTGTTTCTGCCTTTGTGCTGGGCTCTGCCCCGTGAACGGAAGTGAAAGTGGCCACCATCCTAGGTGTGACCTAAGGTTTCCACTGTCCCCAAATGAAGCAAGCTGAGCTAAAGCCACCATGGCCCAGCTCAGGCAGGTGTGGGGGACAGAGGGGCTGGGGTTGTCTCAGTCTGGAAAATCCTAGAGGGGCAGGTCCTAGGGGGGCGTCTCATGGGAGCGCCGACGGCTTCCTTAGAGAAGAGTGCAAACCTCCTAGTGAGATCGTTGTCCCCCATGTCTCAAGAGTGTGTGTGTGCATGTGTGTGTGTGTGTGTGTGTGTGTGTGTGCATGGGTCTGTATTTGTCTCCCTCTCTAGACTGAGCTCTGTGAAGGCCCAGACCCATATTTTTATGTGTTTCCTGTCTTGTTTGTCGAAGGAAGGAAGGAAGGAGGGAGGAAAAGAAGGCCCCTGAGAGCCGTAGCGTGTC